GAAAACCTGAATGACAATAACGGTTCGTGATGACTACCTCATAATCATGAACTTCAAAAAATAACCCTGACCTTCCTCTCGGCTTGCAGTACAAAAATGATGGGATGCTCTGGGGAGAATTGAACAAGAAACTTGAACTTCCAGAAATAGAACCTTTGACGGTCACACGGCTCACTCGAAGAAAGGAATCTAATCATCAAAATCACCCGAGGCTACTTCGTGTAACACTTAAAAATGCTACCGACGTAGAGGATGTCTTACAACCTAGTCATTTACTGAAATCAGATAGGAATGTAATAATACTGCCTGACAAACAGTATTCTGAGCGCGATTTCATCCGGAACATCCCCGAAGAAACTCGCGATCAGCTTTTCCGCGGGAGGAATATAATCGTGCAAGATACACCGAAAAATACGTACCCTACTCAATCAAATTCTGACATCAGGGAATGGAAGTTCATCAAACAGTCCTTGAGGCCCAAACACATACTGACTCAGCATGTGACGAGTCTAGCCAAGAAGGATGGTGATTCTAGACTCCGTCTAATGAAGATAACCTTCCCATCTTCCCACATGGAGGCTGCAACTGTGGAAGCATTTCGTGCCAACGGACGTCGATTGCCACCTGGAATCCACATGCAACCGGATAGGCCATATGAACCTTGGACCAAGCACAAAGGCAAGTTGGAGCTGACCATTCCACTTGTGGACTGTCTAAATGATAAAAAAACGTGTAAAGGACAGGGCTTACCACCTCGGCAAATCTCATATAGGTGGTATACCAGTCCATTCACGTAAGGCTCATACAGAAAAACACGACGAAGCTCACGCGTCCCAAATTGAAAGCATAAACTGCCTATATATGAACGCCTCGAGTCAACCAAACAAACTGGATGAATTACGTGAACTTAGCAACGCTAATAAAGCCCATCTGATGGGAATATCTGAAACCTGGATATCTTCTCCGTTCTCGGACCATAAGTTAGCATTATCTGGGATGACTTTGTTCCGCAACGACAGAAAAACAGGAATTGGGGGTGGAGTAGCCATATGCATAAGCTCTTGCTTGGAGTGGCACCAAGTTCACAACCTCGAGTTTAACAATCTTGAGGAATCTATATGGTGCTCTGTAAGATTGTCAAGCACTTTGAGGTGTCTAGTCTGAGTCATTTACAGGAAGCCAACTGCTGATATCGAGTATGATAGTCGTATGCTAGAAGGACTATCCCGCTCTAGCCATCTCGGTTTCACACACGTCCTGATTTTAGAGTACTTCAAACTCCCTAGAGTCAACTTCGCAGAACACAGGTACACTGGAGGCGACAACTCAACTGAAGCTCGGTTCTTCAACCTCATCGATGACTTGGGCTTATATGAAAAAAAGTTCACCGAAGCTGTTCTGGGGTATTCTGATAACAAAGACTATCATCAAAAATGTCAACAACTCATCTTAGAACCTCTTTGGATCAGACGTATCAAATTAAATCTTGTCTTTATCTACCGGCTCATTAACGGTATTTCCTACTCATCGGTATCCACCCCTTCATACCTTATAATATCATCCCACAATCCACGCAATAAGGAGAACATTCAGGCGATTCCAAGAACCAACTAAAACTTACGTCAGAATTTTTTCCTTATTCGCTACTCAATCATGTGGAACAGACTGCCAGTGAACCTCTGTTGCAGTGAAACTACAACCCGGTTCAAAAGTCTCCTTGACGATTTTCTTTCCGAAAGTGGATTATGTCACCTATTGAATATCAATGTATTCAATAATGATTTATACAAACAAGGTCCGTCATTTATTTAATTGCTTGAAAAGCAAAATAAAATCTTTAAATCTTTTCACGTCTATTTTGTTTTATTTCTCTTTATCTTAATATATGAAGTCTGTTTATGTTCGTGTTTATCATTATTACCGTTATTAATATCATTATTAGTTCCCCGACAAATTAGGTATTCTTTTTATCTCTTCTTATCCTTCTAAACATATTTAACTCCAGATTGTCCTTTGAAATCAATTTTGACTTTCATAGCATCAATCTTAATTATTATTGCACAAATATTTACACTAATATCCGGTTTCATTCTGTATACTATTACATAAATCTAAATGTATTCATCCGAGTTCTTTAAAGGATTTTTATTTTTCCAATTGCTGGTTTCCTTCTGAGGTTGATATTCATTACACAATTATTATTCTTATCATGGATCAAAACTTTTCACCAAGTGTTTACTTATTTTCTCTCTCTTCTTCCCTTCTAAATAAATCTTATTCTTAAGATTATGAAGTTTGTAATTAAGACAATAACTTGTGTTACATTTAAATTAAGTTCTCAGATTCGTTTTATCTTCACTATGCATATATGACTCATACATAGTGATATTTTATAATCCTTTTCACTTAATTGTGACTTTCATAGCATCACTCTAAACTATAACTGCACAAACATTTATTCTAGCGTCATATCTTACTACAATGATAAATTATTTTTTGTTACTAATTTAACGATACACACATAGTCGTTTATTCTTGTTCTGTGTTTATAAACACGCCTATTACACTGTTAGCGTATTTCACGTCTCCTTTATATCTATTCCCTTATTTTCTCCATTTACTTCTTTAAACTCAATTCAATATTCTTCTCAATTACACAGACCCGATTTATTATTATTATTATTCTAAATTTTTTTTAAAATATGGCAAGTAAAATGCTAACATTATTGAAAATTGTGTATCATTTCATTTTCTGAAGAAACCCGAAATGGATTCTTAACAACATTTATGTACACATATGATGTTTGTGAATAATAATAATAATAATGATAATAATAATAAAATGTGAGGTCGGCAACTCGTTGGAGAAACAGTCAGACACCATCGAGCTTAGACTGTGTATTCACAAACGAAGAATTCCTAGTTGACAACCTCTCAATCCTGGCTCCTCTGGGAAACAGCGATCACGCCATCATAGCCTTCTGTTTTCTCATCAAAACTAAGCTAAGGTATCCCAACAATTATTCGCGTTGGAATTTTAAACGGCTAAATGTGCCAGCTCTACATGACTATCTACAACAGGTGGTTTGGGATGTTCACCCTCAACTCGATGTGGACGGTCATTGGGACTTCTTACTGCACACGCTCTTATGTGCTACAAAACATTCAGTTCCTCAAACGGTTCCCAAAAGGTGCAAGCCGCCTACAGTAATCAAGAACCGTACCCTTCGCCTGCTAATCTGCAAAAGGCACTGTTGGGCGGAATACAAACGAACTAATAACGACGGAGCGTATAGGCAATATAAACATATCAGGAACATATGCACAAAGGCTATAAGAGAAGACAGGCTTCAGTACCAGACAAAGCTTATGGACAAGTTTGCCTCTAACCCTAGAAGCCTATTCCGTTATGCACCCTCTCTTCGTCAAGCCAAAACAGGAGTTTCTCAACTGCTAGGTGTTAACGGCCCGACCAACAACAATGGCAACGCTGCTAACCTTCTGGTGGCACATTACTCTCAAAAATTTCAACCGGCTGACATCACACCAATTTTCAAAGGTGGTCGACGCAATGAACCTTCAAGTTATCAGCCGGTGGCTCTTCTGTCATTACCTTCAAAACTCTTGGAGTCCCTGATATGCGACGGTTTAAACGACTATCTACTCTCCTTAAATTTATTCTCACCCCAACAGCATGGTTTCAGGAAGAGTTACTCTTGTATAACCAACCTGCTGACTGCGGTGGACAGATGGACAAGCATCCTTGATCACAAAGGGAAGGTTAATATCATCTACCTAGATTTCTCAAAAGCTTTTGATAGGTTTAACCATACATGTCTTATCAATAAGCTCAAGTGATTGAGTATCAGACCACCTCTAATCGATTGACTCACTTCATACCTGAAAAATCGACATTTTAAGGTCAGGGTTAATTTCACTTTATCTGAGGCTATGGAATGTACTAGTGGGGTCACCCAGGGCTCAGTACTAATGACTCTTCTCTTCTTGATCTACATAAGTGATCTTCCTCAACAGGTAACGTCAGACTTATTACTTTTTGCCGACGACGTGAAACTTTGGAGAGAGATACGCAACCAAGATGATATACAGGCACTTCAGGAGGATCTGACTCGACTTCACAGTTGGGCAGACGATAACCGACCTACCTTTAACACTTCAAAGTATAAGGTAGTCCATCTGCGACATGTCGCAGACTGCAGTTATAACTTAGGTACCTTCTCTCTAGTAGTACTTCAAGTCGAAAAAGATTTAGGAGTCCTGGTGCCCTACGATTTAAAGTTTTATGCTAACTGTGACAAATATGCCTTCCGAGCAAACCTTGCACTAGTAACATTGAAGCGCATTTTTGGCCAGCTTGACAGAAGAACTTTCCATATAATCTTCAATAGTATTATCCTTCCCCATTTAGAGTACGGAAACATATTATTTCCCCCTCACTCCAAAAGGATAAGGACACCCTGGAGCATATCCAACGGCGATCCACGAAATTAGTTCGAGGACTCAAATTTTAACCTTACGAAGAGCGCCTCCATTCACTTAACCTTTACCCATTAGAGTACAGGCGTCTTAAAGGTGATTTATTAATGGCTTATTGTATTCTTAACACTTCTGGACATCCTCTCAAACACCTACTTGAGCTTAGTTCCAACACTAATCTAAGAGGTAACACCCAAAAACTGGAGACACAACATAGCAAGACGGACTGTAGACACAACTTCTACTCCTTAAGAGTTGTCAAATGCTGGAATTCGCTGCCCGCCGAGCTAGTCCGAGCGACTTCCCAGGAGTCCTTCGAGAGGCAACTGGATCTATTCCTAAGGATTAAGGATAGTACCACACTATGATTTACCAATTTCTTTTTCCTCTTTTCCTGTTAACATACCTAGGTTCATGCCTAGAGGTTTTGGAGATCCCCTTGTACTAGACATGGAAGGCTGTTAAGCGAGAGCTCCTTCTACTCTGTCCACAACCATTTGTCTGTTGTGCATATTTTGAACATTACCGATACCTGCAAGGTCAACTATGCCAAAGTAAGTGTGCTTAACAATACATTCCTAGGGTTTAGGTACTATTGTGACTACTGTGATACCTACCTAACTCATGATTCTCCATCCGTAAGAAAAACGCATTGTGGTGGTAGAAATCACAAGGATAATGTAAAGGAATATTATCAAAAATGGCTGGAAGAACAAGTCCAAAGATTAGTAGATCACACATGTAAGTAATGCATTTTTCACCTTCCTTAACATAGACCTTTCAAGCTGAAGCATACAAGCAGGGTAAAATGCCTCCACCACTATTTGGCGCTGCAGCGGGTATACCACCTCCTGGGCTTGGTTATCCTCCTCGTTATCCTCCTATGATTGGTGTTCCAACTGGCTTCAGACCACCCCACCCACTAGTTCCTCCACAGGGCATGATGATTCCACCCAGACCACAGATCCCATGGCCTCAGCCAGGAGTTGCAGTCCCTCCGACATACACTGTCCCACCACAGTAACATGATAAAATGACGATCGTTTTCAATATGTCACTATGTACAACCATTATGTAATCGTCTAAAATTCGATTGTTTTTTGAAAACGGTGTTTTTGAACCAGGTTTTTCACCATATGATACTATAAGTTTCGGGTTTTCTGTGATTTGCATTCGTCAAAGAATCCTTTCTGTGCCCATCATAAAAAACTCAATTTTCTGGGAAAAGATGCATCATGTTACTGCGACTCTGTTTAACATCTGAGAGAGGAAACTTCCGTCACTGCTTTGAAACTTTGACTTTTTGCCCATGATAACATGGATTTTCAGACCCTTTCATATTTGTCTTAAGTTGTACCCTAACGAGTTATTACTTCAAACGCTTCCGAGGCAGCTGGGGTTATACTTAACATATATAGGTTACATGTGTCCTGATAGCGAAAACACGTGAGCTGACTCAATTTTTTCTGATTACTTCTACGAATAAATTTGTTACCATGGGCTGCATCACTGTTGGATGATAAAATCTGTCCTAAATTCTTTAGTTATGCAATTCAAGATCGGATTTTCAGTTTTATCGTTCCCATATTTATATTTTCGAACAAAAAACTGAATAACGTCTGAACATTGTGTATCATTTTAGGGACGGATTTACTTCATTCATCTGTCACGTATGAAATCTTGAATAGATATAGAGTCGCTTCCTCCATAGCTTTGAGCAGTTAGCAGTGTTTGGGCAAGATCTACCTACATTACAGAGTAGTGGCTTTCAGTGAATAATTACTGTTCACCATACTACGAGCTCCTGGATATTTTATTGGTTAAACACAATGAGCTTCCAGAGTTATAAAACCATTTTTTTTATTTACACAACAGTTTTAAAGCTTTGAGTGTATGCAGTGGCTCGAAGTACTTAGGGATTGTTCATGGGTCATGCTGGTGCTCATGGTTGTCTGAAACTTCTGTTATCATATTACTGACATGAAATAGACTGGTTTCTGATTGGAGAGTAAGACTTTGAAGGATGTAGCTGATCTGAAGCAAGGGATAGAGTAAGCTAACATGAATGAATTTCATGCCATTAAGATTAACTGAGGTTCCAGTTAAAGACAGGCAGTTGGCTATTAAAAACGGACATTCGTAGGTTACTAGTATTCCATCAAACGTGTCTTCGAAGCATTGGTCGTGTACATAGGAGTCGTTGAGTAAGCAATCCTTAGGTTGGTCATTAGGTATTAAGTTAAAATGGCAAACCGATTGATGCCGTAGTAAATCTTAATCAACTGAGATGGTTAAGACATGCGTTATTTATACCAAACCAGCACATATTTCATCGTGAGGTGTTGGCTGGTGACAGTAGACGGAAACAAAGTTAGGGGCGAGCAAACGAAAACATGGCACCAATCTATGAAGTCATTGATAGTTAGACTGAGACTTGTTAACAAGCGTTAACTACTTGATTGGTGTCCACACGATTACCATAACCATTGACTACAGATTTTGAATGACATGGCTCGAAATCGTTTGCAGCCGACGGCCTCCCATACGTTTCAGTAGTAAACTACTTGGGTAAAAGCATGGTAAACCTATTCTCATTTATGTGGGTAATAATAATTACTACCTTTTATGGTTCAAATTTTGTTTTACGACAGCCTTCCTCTGCAGCCAGTAGTCTCTGTTCAGTAATAGATCTATCAATCTAGTTTCCACACAACTGAACGAAAACAAATAAGTCTTTTACTGGTTATAATGAAACTTTCCTCATCGATCTTGACTCATTTTGAGGTTTCAGAAAAGCTGCGGCACACATCTCGTTGGGACTTTAAGCATGGCTAGTTTTCACGTGATTTATTTGCCAATCGAAATATGACTTAATCAATCTTAGTGCTGTGCTAAACCAATGACGTTCGACCGGTATCGATTTGCATTATATGCAAGAATACCAGACTTCGATCCAAATATGGATAAAAACTGTTTGCAGTCCGCTAGAAAAGTAAATCGATGAACATAAATCACTATGAAATTTCTTTACTACAAAAACCAAAGTCAGGCAGTGACAACGTAGAACTTCGTACGTACGTACATCAGTCCTAGTTGCCATACTACATTAGCACAGAGATGCAGTTGTCAATTCAAATTCCATAGTGGTAGATGTAGTAAGAGTATAAGCAGTAATCGGAAAGATTAGGGTTTGAAGATGTTATTTAAAGAGTATAATTCAGTGAAATAAGTTTGGGAAGAGAAAAAAGAGACAAAGACAATTCAGAAGATTAGAATTTGGGAGAACACAGAGTGGATGCACCTGCGCCATGGCAAACGATTTTGAGCTATGTCATTCAAGGCCTCTAACCATCTGTTGCTATCGTCTCGCGGATCCCAACCAGGTAGTCTACACCTACCAACATGACTCAGACCACTTGTCAGTGACTTCATGGACTTGTGCCATGTTTTGATCTGACCACCCCTAGCTTTCTTCCAACCTACTCCTACACCATTGAACATCGCACGTCGAGGCAGTCGGTGGTTGGGCATACGTAACAGGTGTCCCAGCCATCTCAACTGAAGAAGTTTCACTACTTCATCAATTGATTCGCCATCCTTACCTAGTACCCGTTTCCTAACAAATGCGTTACTTACTCGGTGGTCCCAGGATATACTAGCAATGTTTTGAAGACACCTATGATCGAATACTAGTAACCTACGAATATCCTCTACTCTTACCGGTCATGTTTCACTGCCATGAAGTAGGACGGAAGGAACTACTGCGCAGTAAACACGTCCTTTGGTTGGTAGACCGGTATCTCGCCTACGCCATAAACGACGCAAGTTGGCAAAAGCTAGTCGAGCCTTCTGTATCCGTGCTGAGACTTCGCCACACACCAGACCATAAAGGCTGATGAGACTTCCAAGATAAGTGAAGCGGTCGACACGCTCAACGACTCCACTCCCTACCATTAGTTCGGGTGTAGATGCAACCCAATCCTGAAGCAAGCTTTTGCATTTTGAGGGGGAGAATCGCGTGCCGAACATGCTTGCATTGTTGCTTAGAGTGGTCAGAAGACTCTGCATTTTGTCAGCGTCTTCACTAGATAGAACTGTCATCAGCATATTCCTAGTCAACAAGTGAATCTCCTGGTAGAAGTTCAACCCCTGGAAATTTAGATGAGGAAAGCGTTATCTCTAAAAGTACGTCAATGACAAAGTTAAACAAGAATGGAGAGAGTGGACAGCCCTGACGAACACCACTTGAGGTAATCAATTCTGATGACAGTTCGCCATAAGCTCTCACTCTACCAGTTGTGTTCGAGTAGAGAGCCTTTACAAGGTTAATATACTTTTTTGGTACTCCTTTCAGTGACAAACACTGCCATAGAACCTCACGATCAACAGAGTCGAATGCCGCCTTAAGGTCGAGAAATACTACAATTGTGGGGCGTCTGAATGAGTGTCTATGTTCTAGAACCTGATGTAGTGTGAATATCTGGTCTATACAACCACGTCCAGGTCGGAAACCAGCCTGATTTTCTCTAGTCTCCTCTTCACGAACTTTAGTTAGGCGTCGAAGTATTATTGAAGCTAATATTTTAGACACTATATTAGTTAAACTGATTCCTCTGCGATTGTCACAAGAGGACTTTTGTCCTTTCTTATAGACTGGCACAATTAGTGATTGAGACCAGTCAGGCGAAATTACGTCCAGTTCCCAAATTCTACCTAAGACCTCAGTCAATCTCATTGCTAATACCGGACCACTATACTAAAAAATCTCAGGAGTAAACCTATCAAGGCCTGCTGCCCTCCCTCGCTTCAGATTTCCTATAACTTTTTCAACTTCGTAAAGAGTCGGAGGACCTAAATTAACGTGCCATTCAGGTTGACTGGAGATCGTGTGAAACCGATGTGTGGCTGAAGGCCAGTTGAACTGATCCCTAAAGTGTTCTTCCCATTTATCTAATCGCCTGGATTGAGAATGAATAATATGTCCATCTTTCTCTGAGATTGTTTCGCTAACATTCGGGTTCCTCATACCGGTTTCCCTAACGAGTCTGAACAATTGTGTTATTACCGATTGCCGCTGCCTTTTCCCTCTCTCTTGCTTTCGCTACCCACCACTGTTCACGATCATTGCGTAGACTTCTTGTCAGTTTGCGCTTAAGCTGACTCCGCTCTTCACTATGTTCAGAGCCAGGTGGAATGAGTTTCCGAGCATCTATCAGTGCGATAGATGGTGCTGAGATCCAGTGTTGCTCCCTAACCTTCTGGTTTACCTTACTAACAGATATCACTGCTGTTTCCACAGCTTTTCAGATATCATTCCAAGCCGCATCGGGGTGGGCATCACATACATGGCTGCCTAACTGTTTTCCTAGTTGTTCCTGAAATATACTCTTAGCTTGACTATCACTAAGTAGGCCCCTAAGAGGTTTCCTTGCAGCGTCTTTCCTACGTCCACTAAGACGCAAGCAAATACGCGCTCGTACTAGAGCATGATCTGAATCTAGGCATGTGCTCCAGAATGAGCGACAGTCTTCTATCGAGCCCCTCCATCGGTGGCTGATAGCGATGTGATCTATTTGGGTCCAACGTTGGGACGAATTAGGGGGTCGCCATGTTAAAAGATGTTTTTCCTTATGCTTAAAGTTAGTATTTGCAAGGAACAGGCGATTATCTGAGCATAGCTGCAACAGACGGTCGCCATTATCTGTTCTTTGAGTCACTATACTATAAGATCCACCCAGGTGTCTTTCCCTATCGCTTAGTTTACCTACTTGAGCATTAAAGTCACCGGCCACTATTACTACATCCGAGCGCTTAGATTTTCGGAGAAGGTCCGAAAGCTTTCTGTAAAACTCATCTTTTACATCATCTGAGCTGCAGTCAGTGGGAGAATAGGCAGAGACGACGAAGAGGCAACGACGAGTGTCCCTATCTTTCCGGATTCTTACTGTTCCGTGCAGTCGGACAGCGCACAAACGACTGTCTACTGGGATCCACTCTAAGAAAGCTAGTTCTGCCCTAGGACTCAATGCTATACCTACGCCGGCGAGGCCATGGGAAGCAGAATCAGGGCTTCCAGATACACGAAGCGTAAATCGAGTCGGTTCTCCTCAACCTTATGGTTTGCCGTACTAACAGGTATAACCGCTGTTTCCACAGGTTTTCGGATATCATTATATGCTGCCTCGGGGTGTGCATCACCTACATGGCTGCCTGTTTTCCTAGTTGTTCCTGAAATATACTCTTAGTTTGACTATCATTAAACAGGACCCTAAGAGGTTTCCTTGAAGCGTCTTTCTTACGTCCAGTAAGACGCAAGCAAATACGCGCTCGCACTAGAGCAGGACCTGAATCTAAGCATGCGTTCCAGAATGAGCGACAGTCCTCTATCGAGCCCCTCCATCGGTGGATGATAGGGATGTGATCTATTTAAGTCCAACATTTGGATGAATTAGGGGGTCTCCATATTAAAAGATGTTTTTGCTTATGCTTAAAGTGCAAAAACTAAAGCTAGTCCTTCTTTCTTAATCTGACTGTATTTTCGCTCAGTTGGGTCAAGAGTTCAGAATACATGAACAATTGGCTTTTCTTTACCATCAGGAAAACGATGACTGATAACAGCTCTAATTCTACAGTTGGAAGCATCTACGGCCACAATTATTTTAAATTCTGGATCGTAATGGGTCAGCAACAGTTTAGAATAGAAAACCTCTTACGTTTCATCGAGAGAATTTCGGCATCACTTTGTCTAGTGCCATGTTGATTCAATGGGTGTCGCAATACTATATATCCAATCATCTCCAAAAATGAACGAATTGTTTCAACATCAATCGGTCTGGGCATGTTTTTGATAGCATTCATATTATCTGGATCTGGCCGGCGTCTATCTTTATTAAATACAATCCAAGGTGTTTAACAGACTCGAACAGGAATCCACTTTTCTAATTTTAACTGAAAACCAGCTTGTGATATTCTAGTGAGCACAAAATCTAACCGACCCATTAGTTCCTTAGAAGAAAAACAAATAACTATAATATCATCCAAGTAAACTCCTACACCTTCGAGGCTAGACATAATAGTATCCATTATATGAAGCTGGCTTTACGCGAAACTGTAATCGGTTAAACTGATGGAGTTCACAGTGGGTATTAATCGTTAGTAACTTGTCAACTTCTACTTGTAAGTAGGCTCCAGGTAAACCAAGTTTAACAAATAAATTCTCCGGAAAAGATGGCGGATATGAATGATTTGTAAAGAATCATTTAATCCTGATGAAAAATCTGCATAAGGGCGGATAGCTCCGTTCGCTATCTGAACTACTACAAATGGTGCTACCCATGCCGTATAATTAATGTGCTGTATAACACCGAGCTTCTCTAGCCGGTTTAATTCTTTGTCAATAGCTACATATGGGACTTGACGTTTTGAATGAAAAACAAGTTTTACATCCTGTCGTAAGTATAATTTTGCCTTCGAATTGTCTAGCATCCCAACTTACTCTGGAGCAAGCTTTTATTTACCTGCAAAAGGATTTCTATTGTTGTGGATGTCTTAGTTAGATGAACGATGGGTAAATCTCTAGGAATATTTGAGCTTTACATCGTACATATTTTGCTCAATAGTAAATCCCATAGATTTAATTTGTTTATCCAATTTATACCAATAAGGCCTAAATGATGTCTGTTCGTTAAGTGACAATTTCCTGTGAAGTAGTTATCTCTGAATTCAACAGAGCATTTTGTTGTTCCAATAATCATTAATATGTCTCCAGATGCATTCCGAGCTGTGTGCTCAGTTGTCAATACTTGTGGACAGCCAGTTAAATTCCATGTCCGTTTAGAGATTAATGTGATATCTGATGCTGTATCCAATTACAATTGAATGTGAACACGATTAATTCCACATGCCTTCTTTTATCTGTCATACTTAGAGCCAGTGTAGCATACATATTGTAGTGAAGACGCTTCGTTGGCTTTGATCTCAAAGTTATATAAATAAGTGTTTTATTATAAATTCACAAAAATAAACAAAACTAGTTTAAAATGTCTAATTAATTTTTTTTGGAAAGTACATATGGGACACAAAATGTTGGTTAAGGTGCTATTTAGAAAAGCCAACTACATTCCCAATTTGTATGAATACTTGAAAGCCAGAAGTGTTGAATTCATCAAATCAATACGAAGAGATATCCATCGTGACCGAGTTAGTTGTTTAATATACGTCCTGAAAATGGTTTGTTATCGCACGTTTTAAGGAGTAAAATGCATGGTTCATATTAAATATAAAGAAATCATGTGTTATGTCTTTGAACAAACTGTATTAATTTTGAAAACCATCCAGTATAGAACCGAGCATTAAATCTTCAGGTGTTACAGAAACACTGAAATATTCAACTTTATTAGTTAGATTGCTTTCACTCAACACACATTCATCTCCGTTACATACAAAAGGAACATTGAGACAGTCGGCAGGTATTGGCATACCTAAATTTAAATAAATGTGAAGAGACATGTAGCTAGTGTATATTCGCATTGTAATATAAATAGACAGCAGGACTTATTATAAAATGTGGTTAGAATTATGCGTTATCTCCTAAATACCACCATCAGTAATCACTATTTTTTTCTATCCTTTTGTAAGGTTTGAAAGTTTGCAATTCATTAGATAGTCAAGCGAGGTAATGTTCGGAGATGCTCTTTGGCTCCATATGAGCAAGTAAGCTAACAGATATACATTGATTTGGCCCAAAGCGATAGCTTGTCTTACACACAAATACGAATCTCAGGCATCTCCAGACATCACGGGCTAGCTATTTAAAGTACTACAAGTCCTAGGACATTTAGTTACTTCTAGTAACTCCGATTCTTAACAATTCTCACAAATCATCCATACATTCAGAAGAATTGGTTTGAAAGACTATTAATTTTATCTATGTGAAAGTCATTGAGTAGCCCACCATCTTTGGAAGTATTTGAGTCTAAATATCATCAAAAACTAACATCCTCTAAATAAGAAGGCTTTAAAAAATCTGTGTTCACTGGTTAAATAACTTTAAACTTTTGTAATAATCAAGATATCATATGTTTTTAGGAGAAATGAATTATGACTAGTAGTAGAATTTACGATGAGCGTTTCGCCCTATCATTTGTGACTCGTCAGCTGAATGTGCCTGCATCACATAGTTGGTGTTCACTCCCAGATCCGAAGCCAATACTGCTTGTTTCAAATACCAACGGGTTACTTACTCGGTTACCCACCTACGCAACAGGTACGAATTTGACTTCATTTTTAAGGGTTTTTGAGTTATTTGACTGTTGACTGGTTTTTGAAGGCTTTATTGGTATACGTGCATCCTGTTCGCATTAATTTGATCAACACATTATATCACAAGTTTTATGGAAGAGATCGATTTTGGCTAGCAGTGGACTGATAAAATTCAGTCAACAATACCAACAACCGAATAACTCAAAAACCATTACAGATTAAATATTTTATATGGTTGTTGAATTGATAAAATAATACTTTAGCTTTATAAAATAAATGCTATACATTTTGAAAATATTATCCCATTTGTTTGAATGAGATTGTATTACGCAACTATTATTTATAAAATATATATGCAATCCACCTAGATTACAACACATTATGCGAGAATTGTGTTTTTATTCTTATTTAAACATTGAATAAAAGAAATAGAAAAAACAACTTACTAGATGAACGAAAACCCACCAGTCGACAGTCAGGATCTAAGCATTTCTGATAATAACAACCATTGATGAGATCAAAGACTAGGCTGAAAAAAGCATGAATCAACACAAAACAATGAATAATGTTATTTAAACACAAAAAGAGAAAATCTTATATAGATTTACAGTTGCTACTGGCTTCATACAAATTAATCAGTAGTTCGAATATAGATAGTTGGGAACTTGTACACTAAATTAACATTTTTATTCTATTGTTCAATACTCTAAGCTAAACCTACATTTAGAATCGAAGTAACTGTTAAAACTATGACGTAATTACGAATTTACCATACGAAACATATTCAAAGAGGTAAAAACTCCTCGTTTATATTGCTTCATCCACATAGTTTTCTCTTTAAAAGCGGCTTAATCGGTCTTCATTGATGTCTATATGAGATAACATCAATCAATTGGTTATAAGCAACAAAGAATCTGGTACATAAATGAATCGGTCCAAATTAACACCGCATTAGCTTAGTAAGATGTCAGACGTACGACTCATTATTCTTTAACGAATTTACATGGTTTAAATAGAGGTATATAATATGAAGTTCATTGAAATAAATTTAGAAAATATTATTTACTCTACTATACCGAGATTACAAGTGATGTGTACACATCAAAATAAGTTGAGTGCGTGTAATCAGTCAACAAATACGGTATACTTCACGGCTTCTCGTTAGCGATAAACGGACTAAATTTAGTAATACTCTTTTGAAGTTACTGTCAAATGTACTTATGATTTCACACATACATGAGGAAGGAAGTACAAGGTTCTCCTAACATATTCCACATACGTTTTATCTGACAGGAAGTAAAGTATTCGCAAATGTGATCAACAAACATTTAATGGATAATCAACACAACGTGGATGTCACAAAATCATTTAAAATAATCTACAAGCAGCAAATATTACATTTACTCCGTTTTGTAGAGGCCATTGCCATTAGGCTCTTTTGATCTGACGTTAGTGTGTAGAAAGAAAGTGTAAAAAAACGTCTTGTTACCATGGTTACTTACTTGCACCTGTTACTCCTCATGGAGTGCAGGTCAAGACAATTATATTAATTTAACGTTTGTCAATCACATTATTTCTTTATTGTACTTTACGATTGGAAAGATAGAAAAATTCAACCGAAAGTATGATTACCAATCATTTGCTAGTAATTTCCTTTTATTTCTTGTCTCTTTGTTATCATTTATAATTTCACTCTCTTCTTTTTACAGTTTTATCTTCAACATATAAATACTAACCAGTCTCACGTTAAATGTTATCGCTTCGTGTTTCTTATGTCGTTTCAAACCAAACTTCATTAATTATTGAATGTAAAAATACTTTTTGGTGATAATATTACTAATTGTAGACTTAGGCCACTGGTAGCTGATGAATAACCTTGGAATATAATGAATTTATGTTATTCTGTAAATCAACTTCTATTCGCTTAATTTAAATTTATCAAGAGATCAGAATGTATAAAACTTAGTTCACTATATATATATGAAAATTATTTCTTACATGAACCTATAAATCATATAAAATGTTTAAAACAAAATAAAATAAACGAACTCGCTTACATAATATGATTACTTTTATGGGAACGATTGACTCTTTCACAGAAACGCAGTTTCTCCACTTTTATGGCTAACTTGCCTTTATTGAAAGAAATAATTTTGATTTGATTCTCAAAATTGTACAACACATTACTGGTTTTTTCATCAGATAATCCACGATTAAACCATTCTCGGATAATTTTCCTTATGAAAACAATTAATTTTAATGGTAATGACTGAAGACAAATATTGGCGTCATTTTCATGAAGGACTTTATGTACATTATTAGAATGAGTGATGTCATTATTAGTAGGTAAATAAGTGAGTAAAGTGTTATCAGTTTTACTACAGCAACAATTTTCCACCGGTCGATAAATAAAATTTGAACTGTATATTGAAATTTATAAAAAGAAGAAGTTTTGTTATGTAAAGTCCAAAAATACTAGGGAACAAAACGTCCTAGATACAGTCTTATGTTAAGGAAAGTAGTTATTGGGATATTTGTTCCATGATGGGACTTAGAAACATATGGTACATATAATAAGACGTCCGTAACATTTAGCCTATACACTGAAAGCGATTATATCAATAAGTTTAGTTCATTTAACAAACTTGATCATCTAATAAGTATTTTGTTGTAGCAGTTAAGACCTGAATTTGAGAGAGCTTATTTATAACTTGTTGCTACGTTTCTTTTTATTTGGCCATTATAATCTTCACACTATTGTGACTGATACTTGTCGACAGTTTACTACCCACACCCGAAAATATATTGATTTAGTTTGTTCATTAGCACATCTTGTAGTATAATACATGTCGAACACGTGTCATTCATGTTATCCACGTGAATCTAGCCGCTATTTTAGCGAACTTGACAACCAGATCTAAAACAGCAAGAGGGTTTATTAACACAACTACTATGCAATTAGTAAGTTTTATTTATTATTTATTTTAACACATAGATATTGGTACAAGGAGGCACCAAACAGATATGCGCCATACAAATCTCATTCGATGTGTGAGGGCTGTGATACTACTCGGGTGCCCAAACCGAAGTATGTGATTTTCTTAGAGTCACACCCCGAGCCTTCGACCTGAAGGTCTGATCCACAAGGCAGTGGAGCATCGTAAGGAGATGCAGTCCCGTGGAAGCCGGTGACCAACAATTGGTTCATACGCCATTTGTTCCCACAGGTTACTGGAGCCCATGTGCACCATTGGTTTGGAATCCGGTTAAAGCCCCGGACATTCGCTTTTCGTCCTCTCATTTTCGTAAACAACACCCCCGCCATGAGAAGGCAGTGAGTAGGACTTCCCTGGCAGAGGCTATATACGCGTGGCCATGTGAGAGCATTTCGAGAGGGAGAGCGGACTCTCCTCACTCTCGGTCGTACCAGGGCATTTGGGGGCAATTAGTAAGTGGGATGAATCTTAGAAATATGGAATAGCCTCAAAAATATACTTAACCTGGACATACTGGTCTTTAATCACTGACCAATCCAAAAATTACCCTGAATGAACAGATCGTTATAACAACTAGTCAAAACGGCCATTATTTTGAAAAATACTAACCATTGTTCATCAATATAAGTAACAAGAGTCCGTGCCCAAGATTGCCAATTTGACCATATACATGAAAATATTTCATTCTTATTGATTACATAATTTGGTAATAATAATCCACTACCGGATAATTTACATGACCCAGCCAGACGGAAATTACGATTACGTGTATAGACGCCTAAATCACACACACTTGTCCATAATTCACTTGATGATGAAGTAGACTGTTTTAATTTAGGTAAAGCAAAACAATTTTTGGCATCGTTACTGGTTAATTGAACCTCGGGAAATATACCTTGTATAAGATGATTAATTTGATTTGAACAATGCGAACATTCATTTGTGTATAGGAAATCAGTATGTAATAAACTATATTGTGACAAACTTTTACAAAGTATACGAATCAGCTGACCTAATAATTTGATTCCATTAAGTGAAAGGAAAACGAAACATTGATTAGTTGAATATAATTTAGTTGAAAACAAAATAACAATTATATGCTATCCAAATATTTTGGTGCGAAAGTCGTAGACTGTGAAGCTGTGAAATATGGGTTCGAATCCGAACATATGCTTTGTTGACGAGTACCAAGTACTATAAAACCTGAGTTCAGGGTTTCCTAACAAATCCTCTCAGCTACCACCAAGATTCATTAACTAAGTGTATATTCAATCTTAATTGAAGAACTGACTGAAGATATCAAAAAGAAAGTTCCTTAAAAAGAACCTTATTTTCGTACATTTTATGCATGTTTAGCAGTGGAATTCAGAACAAGCATTTCATCCTATTTGGGACCCATCAAGTGTATTTAACCCTGTCGAGACACAACGCAAACCCCGTTTATGTAGTCCTAAACTGCAAAAACTCTGAGGCATGTATAAATCAATAATTAGTAGATAAGTGGTGAAAACGATTAGCTTCAAACAATAAATCGAAACCTGATCGACTAAATTCGGTTTGAGCAGCCGATTGGTGTTTTATTCTTCCATGATAAATATTTTTATCTGCTGCACTACGCTCAGCTTAAAACATATCACAGCGAGAATGGCCAGGAAACAAAGAACGTTTCAAAGAACCAAAACAATGCATAGTATTAAAAGCACGACAGTTTATACAAAATCTAGGAGGAACATTTAGTATCTTTTTCATCCGTTCACTAGAGCTGACTGGTTAGAAATGCACTAATCATCGTATCCAATTTTGAACTTGAACTGAGCATGCAATCGTTAGGATTCAATCCTACTGACAGTTTGTAAGTCTCCCCCCCCCCAAATACACAAACAGTATAATTCAGAGCCGAGTAAACAAGCTTATGCTTGTTAAATGAATTGCAACAACAAGGACAACCCAAAAAATATCTATTTAAATGTCACATGACTTACATTGTTCTAAATTGTTTCGAAATACAAGATTTTTACTGTTGATTATGACATGTTGACTAAATTTCTTCGAAGTGCTGTGAATGTTTAAATAAATAATCAGACATTTTTTAATATTGTACACAAAGAAGTTGCAAGAAAATGTTATATATAATATATATATAAGTAATAACATTTGCATGCAATTTGTCTGCAAAATGTTTAACTTACCTTGCATCCAATATAAATATTTCACTGGGTTCAATAGTTACATCATAGAAGAATCGAATACAAGCACACAAAGCCTAAAATAAAAACAAAGACGAAAAATTTGCGTAGTAAGCTAATAGTTTTTGGGCTTGAAGAAGACAGAAGTTATAACGCGAAAACTACAATCCTACCTAAGTGACCATAAACTATATTTGACGGATTAAAGTAACTAAAATCAAAATGTGTAAACAATCGAAGTTTGTTTAGCATAGATTGGTCGAGTGAATTCAAGCACATCAAAAGCTTTCGTAAAAAAGCATGGTAAATGAGATACGTAAGTATAGGTGGGGTTATTGTGAGTGAATGAATAACTCATCTACTTGATGTTAATGCCCAAATATTTTGTTTGTACCTGTCTGGTATTATATACATACACGCACTTATAAAAACAAATAGTAACAATAACAGTGTGAGCGACAACTTTAATTTATAAGGCTAAATAAAGCACTCAGTTTCTCGAACAAATGTAGGTACAGTACGGTTCTAACATGGGGCTTGGTGGGTAGAAGTCGATCATCTTAACAACCAAGCCGTCACACGAATTACGTATATATCAACATCCTGTCCACTTCTAGTCTGCTTTACATATCTGCTTGAAAACGTGTGATATGGGTGAACTGGATCAAAGGTTACAGCTGACACAATTACATTACAGACTATGAGACGTAAATGAAGTTGAAGTTTTTGTGATATCTGATTTAAATGGAATGGTTGTGATGCTTCCATTATTCATCATAACATCATGAACATGTACTTTAAAGAGAAAACTTCAGAAGAACAATGAAAGCTTTAAAACTAATTCGTCCAGCTAAAATAGCACAAAATCTCCGACATCCTTATTCTAAGTTACAAATATTCTCCATCATTTTAAGAGAATATAGTAAAAATTTGTGTAATATTAAGCAAAGTACTACATATAATAAAACATTTACTAGAATTATTTACCTTTAGAAACGTATTAACAGCTACTACCCCATCTTTATTTTGATTAGATAACTTGCAAAATTCTATATCCAAATATAATTTAGCTGGTCTGTCTAAAAATAAAATAAAATAAAAGGATATATTCATAAATATATATCAATGGTATGATGTAAAATAAAGTGATAACTATGTGACATTAGCTTGCTAAATGCGATATAAACCATAAACCTGGTGAAGGAAAAAAAACTACACGATTAATAATTTACATACAAATAAGCTAAAATAGTTAATTAAATATGGGTCATACAGAATAATGAGCCCCATTTGAGCAGTCAGTAATGAATATGATAACACAATAAAGTAAAAATGGAAAGAGAAATTTAGTGCATCATTGACTGTAATAGTTATAGAAAAGTTGAACGTATGCAGATCAACAGTGTGCTGAAATTCTATGAATGTAACTGCATTACTGCAGTCGTCTGCCAGACACAGTTATTCAACGTTTGTAGCCTGGAGTTCCTTCAATTTAAATAGTCTGGACAGTCAACCTAAAGTATATTATTTAATTTAACCTCTAGGAAACGTAAAATTGTAACCAAGCAAGATTCGTGTCGAGACAAATTGATGGTAGATAGAATTCAATCTCGTTCCGGATTCATCAAATCAAGTGTTTAATTGTACGCTGTGTAAACAGTTATTTCTTATGGAGGATGTAGTTAACAGGGACTCACAAGGAGTATGACGCATTAATGTACAATCTGATACTGGTAAGACCTACCTACCATAATTACCTCATAGTGACAACGAGAAGAAGGCGCCATTTGCCTAATTAAACGAAAAATATAAAACAAGAGTATTTTACAATAAATTCATCAATACTTAATAACAATGTAACTTAGTGGTAACATTAAACTAACTACAAGATTCGAGCTGAGTTTTATTTTCGAAGAATTCTAAATGTGAGGCAAGGAATATGAAAATCTAGATGTGAAATTTTTGTTTACAAATAGAAGACAACATGAAAGTGGTACACTGAAATGATCTTACGCGATGATGATTCATCAAAAGTTCAACATGTGCCTTAAAGCTATATGGAAATAGAAACTACTTCTGCCTCAATAATTACACTGGATCCATGTTATTTATTTATTGTTCAGTTTGAATACTATGTAACTTAACACTAAACAGATAAATTATCCTACATTCAATATCTCATACGGAAAAAATAGTGCTGACGTCTCGGAAGTGTACCTTCTATATATTACTCTTTGGTCGGAGTCCCTAGAGATGGTGTGGCTCCACGGATTAGGACGTTATCAGACATGTTTCAAAATAGAATCTACTACTGGCATTACTGTATTTTCTTAACGTTTTTTTTTAATAAAAATAAGGGATAATCCCTTAATCGAAAACACTTTCTGAACTGTCGGTCTCGTGATACATCATGCTCGTTCACATATTTTGTTTATTTATTTGTTTGTCCAACTTTTTCCTACCTATTCATGATCTAATTCTCGTATTTGTGTTGTGCATATTTATTCCAGTGCCCAGTTGTACCAGTGTTTAGGTGTGTTAAATAAATAAATAACTCCATTGCTTTGGAAGATTGTCGTGAATGCAATGCTTTAATACAGATGAAGTTATAGGAGAAAGGTTGGTAGTAAAGATAAAAGAAATACTATGAAATGACGAAGGGATTTGAAAGTTAACAAAGTGACTCTGTTAGAGGTATGTGGGCGACTGCTACTTCCCAGTTTTCTAAACGGTGGAAAGATTAATCTTCTTGAAGTAAATGAAAAGCGAGCTAGATAAGTAATGATTTTAGTACCTTGAGAGAGTGACCATAGAGTCCAGAAAACAATCGCTTAAGACTGGTAACACATTGCTTTCTTGTCAGTAGCTCCTGATATATATCAACTCAGTACTTTTCAGACTTTACCTCTGGAAACGGAAATCCATCCAGGAAGATGGAGTGTGTCATTTCTAGAACTGATCTTTTCTAACCCTGTGAGAATACATCATCAATACAGATCCTTGGGGGTTTGATGGAAATACATTAATGTTGTCACACCTTAGTACAGTCAGAAGTTTAACTTCACTTTACATTTTACCACTGTCCGACCAACCTGTCTAGCACGATAGAACCTAAAGCAACAAGTGTTCTAGCCAGTAAAGCTCGACTGAGTCATCACAATAGGTAGGTCTGACCACTACCCCAAGATAGCAGAAACGATATCAGCATTAATACAAATGAGATTTTGTACCGACACTTCCATCATATAAAGGTTGGATAACTTACATTAAAAGCCTTGAAAAATGAATAAGTCTGCTCAAGATAATACAATTTTACGGGTTTCAATATTTCTTTAATCAGATACTCTTAAAATGTACAACCATTCTAGTACTTGGCAGAAACGTGACTTCATAATCACAAGCCATTAAATAAAGCCATTAATAATAATAATAATAATAATAATAATAATAATAATAATAATAATAATAATAATAATAAGATTATTTTTAGCATCCCCAAAGTTAGCCCTGTATTTTAATTAAACGGATTTATCATGAATGCTTATCCACTAAAACTGTCCCAAGCTACATTAGTACAGGAAAAAGGGACCTTGACGAACCGAGAATAAGCACATCAAATGTAGTGCAGAACTACATTTAAAAAAAGTAGTTTTCAAGGAATGAATGGAAATCATTTAATGAGATAAAAAATGCCATTTAAAATAAGGTAAACTCTATGATCCTTTCGAGAAGCAAGCTATAAATAAATGAAGAAATTAGTGATTTCTTTTGATAACCAATTGTATTAGTATTTTATAAGATGTGGAATATATTTGATCGACATATCCCATTCCTTTTATTTATTTAAACACGCAAACATTGGTACAAAAAGGCACTAAATATGTATGCCTACACTTTATTACATTTGTGTGAAGGTTGGTATACTGCCTGGGCGGTCAAACCTAGGTAGCACAATACTTGAAGATAAACAGTTACATGCATCCAAATTACATAAATAAAACATACTTGTACGTGTAAAAGAACGACTGGATTCCACATGCTAAAAATGAACGTTGACCTTCATTCCCAAGGGATAAGCTTTCATAACTGAAGACCATTATTTCCTAACAGCATAAAAATAAAACTTTCGTTAAAAAATAAGCCATTATATATATATATATATATATATATATATATATATATATATTTGAGGTGTATCATTTTACGTATGGTGATTTATAGCATGTATTAAAATAAATATAACTTATTTAAATGACTGTACACGTATAGCATTAGTTTTTATTAATGCTATTATTAAACAGCAATATATCCAAATAGCTTAACAACTAAAAAAAATAAAATACAGAATTGGGTTTATATTGATTACTTTAAATTACAACGCACACGCGTTTGGAATTCATTACGAAAATTAATGGTTACTAGGTTGGTATTAAAGGCGCGATGCGAATACTGAGTTAGTCTCGTTAATTAAAAAAGTCAAATTATAATTTCAAGAAATATCCATAGCTACACACAACTAATACATAATAGACTTTTCGAACAGACGGCAATATATATATATATATATACTCAGTCAAAAAGTGAACTAAATGTATACGAAAATCTGTTGAAGGTACACAATACAACAACAGTGTGCGTACTAGAAAAATAATGTCAGCTAAATCATCCTTCGGGGGTTTTGCGATCAATGGATGAACAATCTCAAAATCCCAACTAAGTCTCAAATAATAAAAACAAACTGATGAAATTTCTAATTGTATGTATGTCTTCCTAGGTTATTTTATCAATTTATGATATGAGTGGAATACAGGACAGATGAATAAAGTTACCACGACAAGCTCCAGTGATTAGGATTATATGTTTCCAGTCATTTCAAAATTGATAACACTATTCATTCTTGTGAATCTGATTTTCGTTTTACAACACACTTATCAGTGCATGATGCACAAGGTTAATTTATAACTTTAAAAACACAATAGTAATATGAATCTTTGGTCAAGTCCAGATTGGTTTACTCAGTCATGAGAGCCTTAGATGTAAGGGCTAGTAATACTACTTAGCTGCCGAAACCGAAGAATTCAAGAAAGGTTTAAACCCCCCGACAACCGGTTGGAAGTTGAGTACTTTGACTGCTAAGGCATTACTACATTTTTAAAAAGAAAGTCTTACGAAATATGTATTTTCTTAACGACTGATTAGATTACAGCAACAAAAAATGTCCACACTGGCAATTTAGTGTACCGAATCCTCTTTTTATCAAAATCTGTTCATATGAAAACTTACAAAACATTAGAAAATTGATAAGTTTGTGCTTTCTTTAAAAACAACTGATTGTTAAATACTCATAAAATTAGTATTGCATACTGATAGAACTTTAGTTAATGAAACACAATTTAATTGAACAGAAAATTATAAATAAATCAATGAAAAGTTTCTCTGTCAATTAATAATAAACGTGATGCAGAACAATTTTTGTTCAGTTGAATTATTCAAACACTGACTTATAGAGCTTTTCATTGGCAGATAATTCATCAGGGTATTATCATATTCTCGAAAAATCTCAGCTATTTACTTCACCTTTAAAACTTAGTAATAAAGGATATACTCTGTACGCTAAGTCACAAACTATTATACCTATATGTACCAAAACTTATGATACTAAACTCAGCTTCGATTCTAAAATTGAATGCGTAAACTTCTTATCATCATTCAAAGATAATGCGTCAAGCAAGCTACTACGAACAGTTTAGATTCATTTTACAATCATTTCAGGATAATACAAAAATGATCTAATCTAACAGAATGGTTACTAATTGATTTGCCCAGCCAAATGAACATTATCTCTGAGATGATTGGAAAATAAAAAACGATAAGTGAGAGTACAGGTTATATTTTGAAAAATTGGAAGTATCATATAACAAGTAAATAGTAAAACAAATCTTTAAGTTTGTCGCAAATTACAACTGCCGAGTACTTTTAAAAGATAGTATCACTAAAATTTATTTTGGAATGCGATTTATTATCTAGAACAACCAAACGAATTCACAGGTATTTAAAAATGACTATTATATGAATAACTGTACCTGACCAAACTGTTTGGCAAAGTTAATAGCATCTTCTTGTTTACGGAATATTTTCCTAACACTTGTTGGACCTTTTAGTCTACGAAAAAGGGAAAAATAAACGACTAAGTTTATTCTTATCAACAACTTCTGCTATGACAGTTGCATTAAGAAAAACTAAAAAGAAACAAAACTTATTTAATATAAATTACACACTGAAGAAAAGTTGAACTACCTGTCAAGTACCTTGATTTTAGTAAAGTTAATTATACTATTCAAGTTTTTCGCAGACGACTACTTATAATCCTAGCTATACTTGAAAGGTAGATCTTTTAAGGAAGCTAAAGAGTAAGAAAAATTGCTATTTCCTTAATGTAATTAGCAGATTGTTCGCGTTTGTTGAGGAATGATAAATTTAAATCAAAATTAAGCATGAACTTGAGAGTTATGATAAAACGGATAGAGCAAAAATTTTATAGTTAGGTACCCTGAAAGTATGGTTTATAACCTTGACATAAGGACCATTTAGATTTAATCTCTTAGGCGAAACACTTTAGTTTTCCAAAAAAAACAGCCAATTGTCTTAATTATGACACTCAGACAGCCTGGACCCATAATTTCTGACATGCAGGAGTGATTGGTGAGTATTTATTCATTAAATGCATGAAAAGCGATTTTACCATTGGGGAAGGACAAATAAGTTTATCAATGATGTTTTCAAGTTATTTGAAATTGTATTAATTATCGTCTACATTTCAGTTATACTTGCGATGTATCGTAAGTTTTGGTGTTTAGATGGAATTCAAAGAGTTGAGTAATTGCTTTTTCACAGCATTCTAAGCACAGACTGTGATGAAATAACAGGATAGTCTGACCAAAGAAACAAGAATTACTATCACCACCAAAAATAAGGTGGGACCTGGTATAAATATGCTTTGAGTCACGTTACTACATTACACGAAAACCAAAGGAATCAAAACAATAGTGATAGCATTATTACTGTTGACATCTGATGTCTTTCAGAGATACAAACTCAAGGTCCCACAATAATATTGAGAAGAATCTCTACGTGTCCACTCAAAAATTATATTCCATCTACGCCTACTCACGAACAATCTAAAACAATTGAATAATATTGATTATAAATATATATTACTGTAAAAACTACGACCCGAGTAAACCTACTTAAGTAATGTCTGTCAATAATGGTCTGCATAATGTCAAGTTAGAAAGTTTAATTAAAGGAAAAAAGCAACTACCAATATAAGTTTTCATAGTTGAAATCACAAACCGATCATAAGTTAGTTAAGCTGTACATTCGTATTTATAGTTATATGGAAAATATATGTCTATAGAAGGATAAAAAAAGATTGAATCCTAAATTGATTCGAGGCTCTTATTATCAGATGAGGTTACGCAATGATCAGCCCCCAAATGCCCTGGTACGGCCGAGAGTGAGGAGAGTCCGCTCTCCCTCTCAAAATGCTCTCACATGGCCACGCGTATATAGCCTCTGCCAGGGAAGTCCTACTCACTGCCTTCTCGTGGCGGGTGTTGTTTACAAAAATGAGAGGACGAAAAGCGAATGTCCGGCGCTTTAACCGGATTCCAAACCAATGATGCACATGGGCTCCAGTATCCTGTGGGAACAAATGGCGAATGAACCAATTGTTGGTCACCGGCTTCCACGGGACTGCATCTCCTTACGATGCTCCACTGCCTTGTGGATCAGACCCTCAGGTCGAAGGCTCGAGGTGTGACTAAGAAAATCACCTGCTTCGGTTTGTGCACCCGAGTAGTATCACAGCCCTCACACATATCGAATGAGATTTGTATGGCGCATATATATTTGGTGCCTCCTTGTACCAATATCTATGTGTTAAAATAAATAATAAATAAACGCAATAATCAAGGGGTAAGAGAAGAATATGAGGACGGAAATAATGTACGGGTCTCAATTATAAAGAACAATTGTCCAACTGACAGATATGAGTTAGTGTTTCCCAATTTTAAATGGTAATTAGTTATTATTAATAATCTTAAACAAGTTTTCTTGACTACTATTCAGTTTGTATTATTATTGTGGTGTGAACTACTTATATTGATATAAGTAGTAAATAACGTGCGTTAAAAGAACGTAATGTCTGGCAGCAAAAGATGGCGAAGATCAAGAAAGGTGGAGCGAGAACATAATGGAATTTGTAAGAAAACCTATGAACAATGGAATGGGAGACAATGGAATGGTGTTTGCAACAGAAACAATCCAGTTTGGTTTGATGCGTGAATATTTTGCAAATTGACGATTTAATATATGGTATTCAGATATTGTTGAAATAGATTGTAATTGTTTTGCTAAATACATCCGTTTGTCTCCACCCGTGTTCTTGTTCACTACATTATGACCTTTATGTTTGTCGCTTTTTCTTCATATACGTCAGTTGAATGGATAGCATCAGCAACAACTTACTATGGGAGAGGACAAATCAGCTTCCAGTTCAGGAAGAAATCAGGAAAAAACATTGAAAGCGGATAGCGCATAGATTACGAAATTAACAAACTGCATCCCGAGACAATTTATTTATTAAACATAAACATCGTTAAAAGGAGGCACCAAACAAATATGCGCCACATAAATTATTCGATTTATTTGAGTGCTGCGATACTGCCCGGGTTCTCAAACCGAAGCAGGTGGTTTTCTTAGGGGGCCAAACTCAGAGCCTTCAGCCTAAAGGTCTGATCCACAAGGAAGTGGAGCAATGTCAAGAGAGGCAGTCCCATGGTATCTGGTGACCAACGATTGGTTCATTGATCTGCTTTTTCCTTCAGGATCCTGGAGCCCATCTGAACCATTGATTTGGAATCAGGGTTTTCCACTTCCCCTAGGTGTATTCTCGGTGTCCACCAACCCGGTTAAAGCACCGGACATTCGCTTCTCGTCCTCTTAATTTCGTAAACAATAGCAATGGCGCGAGAAGGCAGTAAGTAGGAGTTTCCTGCCAGTGGCTGTATACGCACGTTCATGTGGGAGCATTTCGAAAGGGAGAACTGACTCTTCCCATCCTCGGCTGGAGCAGGGCATTCGGGGGTTGTCACGAGGCAAGCCCTAACTTGGAATCCTGAAAGAAAACGGAAAACAGGAAGGCCGAAGAACACGCTACGTCGAAAATCGGAAACAAACATGAAAAGGATGAATAGCATCTGGAAAAGATTTCCCAGGACAGTATTGGAAATAGAAAGTACTTGTGGGCGGCCTATGCCCCTCCACGAGGGATAACATGAGTAAGTATGTCGATTGGACAACTGTCCTTCATAATTGAGACCCGTAAATTATTTCCATTCTCACATTCTTCTCTTACCCCTTGATTATTACGTAACCTCATCTGATAATAAGAGCCTTGAATCAATTTAGGATTCAATCTTTTTTATCCTTCCATAGACATATATTTTCCATATAACTATAATTACGAATGTATGAATTATCTTTATTTTTATTCAATGACACAATGGTTTATTTTAATTATCTGATCATAATTGGACCACCATGGGAAACCTGGTAGTGTCAGAAAATCTTGGGTTTGATTTCCGGGTGCGGCGTTGTGGATGAGCACTTTTGAGGAGCCCCATACTACGGTGAAACGCCTATATAGTGCTTCCAGGTATGCAATGGTGGTCTAACTAAAATCAATTTGTAATTTAAACTATGAAAACTCTACAGTAGTAACATAAATGTCCGTAACTGCATGTCAGCACTGCAACAGGTGAAATGAAATATATTTTTCTCGGGTTATGACATTTTGATCCGTTGTAACCTTACTTGTAAGATCACAGAAGTTACGTGACTACTACTCGAGACACTCGGATACATGGGGTAGGGTTAAAAACGATGCAAACTATGCAGTGAATTGCTGACACTTAAATCACAAAATTATCTTGGATATGATTCGTGATTGCTAAAATCATTAAAAAAACAATATGGGTGTTAACTGTTATATAAATTGTACGAATATTATAAACACAAATAACATACGTAGCCTGGTAAGGTTGTGGTATTTGACGTACACGAGCAGCAGCTGCATCTAAATCCCATCTTTTGAGTCTACAGAATTTTGGAAGAAAAGACATAACTGAAAGGAGGGATTATTTACTAAATTGGTAAGTCATTAAGAGAAATTCAATTATATTGAGAACAGACAGTTTTATTTATCAAGTAGCCTGAAGAGAAATATCTTGATTTAGACAACTATTTACTCAGATGTTATGCAAATCCTTCACGATTACTTATGTAGCCTGGGTAAAGGAGGAGGGTTAGGTATAAGGTCGGCAACCCCATCACGTGGAAAAAAATCTTGCTAAGAAACATCAACCATATTAAACCATTTAAACTTTGACCTGGAAGTTAAAGGAAGAATTATGACGCCTCACGGTGAAAGCCAAGATTATCCGGAAATCACGAGGCTGATGCTCCTTCTAACAACCAGAACAACAATTCTTATAGGTATATGGAACGTCTAGAAATGTGGGAGACCGGAAAGACCAGTCAAATAACTACGGAAATGAGGAGATACAACTTGGCGGTACTCAGAATCAGAGGAACCTATTGGACCCAAGCTGGACAGCAAAGGCTAGATGCTGCTGCACTCCAGTCATGAAGATGAAAATGCTCTGATGTTTTCCAAACAAGCACGAAAGGCACTTGTAGGATGGGAATCTCATGGATCTAGAATCATTAAAGCATCATTCACAACAAAGAAGGAAGGGATCACAATGAACGTTATTCAATGTTATGCACCCACCAATAATATTAATAGCGACGATAAAGATCAGTTTAATGTGAAGCTGTAATTTATCATAGCGAAGTGCCCAAGGAAAAATCTCACCATCCTGATTGGAGATCTAAACGCTAGAATCGGAATGGACAACATGGGATATGAAGATATCAAGAGACAACATGGACCGACTGGGAGAAAGGAACGAGAATGGTGAGGTTCGCAAACCTATGTGCATTCAACAGCTTGGTTATGGGCGGCACAATATTCCCACACAAACGCATACACAAAGATACACGGGTCTCACCAGATCACATCAAGGAGAACAAGATACATATTTGTATCAATAAAAAATTCAGGACAATGGAAGAAGTGAGAACCAGGAGGGGAGTTGACATAGCTTCAGATCACCAGGTTGTGGCCAAGATGAAACTGAAGCTGGGAAAACAGCAATACAAAGATTCAATAGAGACTTTCTATGAGAAACTAACAAACTCAACAAATTCAAGATAAATCTCAACAACAGATTCCAAGCCTTACAAAATGTACTGAAATGAGAAACTAAGGTGGAGGACAACTAGAAAGAGATCAAAGGAGCATTAACATCAACATGTCAGGAGGTTCTGGACCGCAAGCATAATCATAAGGAATGAATCTCCATGGAAACCCTGGATAAGATTCAAGGGCGAGACTATAATTTATGGGCGACCTTTGAAAGAATCTCAAGTGACCTTGATAAATATTGGCCAATCAGCAAAAAGTATAGAGTATAAATATATTATACAAAATCAAAGAAATAAAGTGGATACACACTTCTTACACGTGGTTCAAAAACTTCTCAAGGTTATAAAGGGGTTCAGAGGTTCTAAAATCGTAATGCGTGCAGCAGAGGAAATCTTCCAGATGGCCACACAATTGTCGGCCTCTGAAACCGCTCAATTACCACGTTTTGTACAAAATTCCCTGTGAACCCATCGTACGTTAGCAGTAAGCACTGAAGTTGGCGTCGTGACCTTAGAATCTCTAAAAGGCTTCTGATTAGCTCGTCCATAAATTAGAGTCTCGCCGATTTAAGAAAGGAAAAAGACAGCAATTAACAACAGCCGAACAAGAACAGAGAAAGTCAAGGCACAGGCTGAATACACCGAAGCAAACAAGCAAGTAAAGAAGAACATTCAAGTTATCAAGCAGAAATACGTGGAACGGTCAGTCAGTCAAAAACAGCGTAGAACTTCGTACGTACGTACATCAGTCCGAGTCGCCATACAACATTAGCACAGAGATGCAGTTGTCAATTCAAATTCCATAGTGGTAGATGTAGTAAGAGTATAAGCAGTAATCGGAAAGATTAGGGTTTGAAGATGTTATTTAAAGAGCATAATTCAGTGAAATAAGTTTGGGAAGAGAAAAAAGAGACAAAGACAATTCAGAAGATTAGAACTTGGGAGAACACAGAGTGGATGCACCTGCGCCATGGCAAACGATTTTGAGCTATGTCACTCAAGGTCTCTAACCATCTGTTGCTATCGTCTCGCGGATCCCAAACAGGTAGTCTACACCTACCGACATGACTCAGACCACTTGTCAGTGACTTCATGGACTTGTGACATATTTTGATCTGGCCACCCCTAGCTTTCTTCCAACCTACTCCTACACCATAAAACATCACACGTCGAGGCAGTCGGTGGTTGGGCATACGTAACAGGTGTCCCAGCCATCTCAACTGATGAAGTTTCACTACTTCATCAATTGATTTGCCATCCTTACCTAGTACCCGTTTCCTAACAAATGCGTTACTTACTTGGTGGTCCCAGGATATACTAGCAATGTTTTGAAGACACCTATAATCGAATACTAGTAACCTACGAATATTCTCTACTCTTACCGGTGATGTTTCACAGCCATAAAACAGCTGAGCAGTAAACAAATCCTTTGGTTGATAGATGTGGAACACCTAGCAACGACAGCGGGAAAAGCTTCAGAAGAAGGAAATATGAGACAGCTATATGACACAACGAAGAAACTAGCAAGGAAATATAGTAAACCAGAGAGATCGGTCAAGGACAAAAAAGGTAAGACAATTACCGAGATTCAAGAGCAAAGGAACAGAGGGGTAGAACACTTTGAGAAACTCTAGAATAGACCAGCCCCCCCCCAACAGTCGAAGAAATCAGGATGGCTACCAGACAAATCAAGAGCGTGAAAGCAGCAGGACCAAACAATATACCAGCTGAAGCTGTGAAGTCAGACATAAAAGCAACCACAAACATGCTCCACAATCTGTTCTTGAAGATTTGGGAGGAAGAACAAGTGCTGACGGACTGAGAAGGACATCTCATCAAGATATCAAAGAAAGAAGATCTGAGCAAATGTGAGAACCACAGAGGCATCACACTATTATCGGTACCAGGAAGGTTTTTTAACGGTGTTGTTGAACCGAATGAAAGATTCAGTAGATGCCCAACTTCGGGATCAACAGACCGGATTTCATAGAGATCGGTTGTGCACAGGCCAAATCGCGACACCACAGATCACCATTGAACAGTCAGTTGAGTGGAACTCAAAACAACTGTCAACCCAATATCAAAGTTAGGATCTTCGATACGAACGTCAAGACAGTTCTGTTGTATGGAGCTGGAACATGGAGAACTACCGCAATCATCATCATAAAGGTACAAGTATTTATAAACAGTTGTCTACGAAAGACACTAAATATCCGTTGACTGGATACAATCAGCAACAGCCTACTATGGGAGATGAAAAATCAGTTTCCAGTTCAGGAGGAAATCAGAAAAAGACATTGAAAGTGGATAGGATATAGATTACGGAAATTACCAAACTACATCACGAGGCAAGCCCCAACTTGGAATCCTGAAAGAAAACGGAAAACAGGAAGGCCGAAGAACACGCTACGTCGGAAATCGGAAAGAAACATGAAAAGGATGAATAGCATCTGGGAAAGATTTCCCAGGACAGTATTGGAAATAGAAAGTGCTTGTTGGCGGCCAATGCCTCTCCAAGGGGTGTAATAGGCGTAAGTAGGTAAGTAATAAAGTAACATTCCATCCAGTTAGACGAAATTACTTGAACTGGGGTTGAAATCTGTACTACACACTTGAATAATATTCAAAAATAACAACCCTGTTCAAATTAATGAGAATAAGTATCAAAAAATGAAATCACACAAGAGATAAAAACGAGGCTTTTTGGAATTATCGACCCATATAGAACAGTGAACATCTACTTATATTCAGATTCTAGGATATTTATTGAGATGACAATGATGTAAAACACTATAAGTATCCTCAATTTCTGAAATGTTGTGCATATGTTCATAGCTCCGTTAATTTAAAACATAAGTATTAAAAAGAAGCAGACGACAGGTATCAAACTGGAGAAATTCATTTGTAAGATGTCACAAGGCCTAACATACATAAAAAAATATCAGTGATTTAAAGATTTCATGAAACAATCACTACACATCAACGACAAAAGTGGCACAAATTAATACAAAAGTTTGTAGAAGTGTATTACAGTGAAAATTCAGTCAACTAGTTAGCCACTCAATAGCCTTTCAATTCCCTAGTTCATAGTAGGATTACTAGCATACTTACTTGCCAACCATACTTGAACCTTTTGCCTTACATTCCGGAAGATTATGAAGGTTAAACGAAGTTTTAAAGAAACATTCTTAGCAGTTGGATGTCTTAAAACCTACATAGTCGTGTCCGACATTAGATAAGATCAAACTTTCAGAAGACATATTTTTTCATTCGATAAACTCGTTAATATAGGTGGACCTGCTAATACACAGTCAAGAATACAGGTAACGTAAAAAAATCAAAAACACTCACCGTTTCATGTTCATATCGTAAAGTAGGAAAACCTATTGGTGGATATTATTTGTTCGAATATTCGGACAGTGGATTGAAAATGAGGGTGCTGAAAAAATCAGATGACGGTATTGAATATTTTAAGAAAATAACTTGATTTTTTTGCTACGTATATTATTTTGAGATGTTGGTATGACAGCGCGTATATTATTTTGAGCTATGGAAATTTTCAGATTTCCGCTATCCAAATGAGATGTCCCAAAGTCAGAGATCTTGCTGTTAATCTGAGACGCGCTCATTAGGGATTGTTTGCAAAGTTGTCGTACTTTAATCACATAATCAGTTCTCAATACTAATGACTGCAGGTAGTCTAAATTGTAAATTACAAATATTTACAAAAACTTTCACTTATATTATGCCATTATCGAGCTGATCGTTACAGCTTGTTGGTTTACATACGCAAGAAACAAAACTTCAGATGATCAACTTTTGGGAGATCAAACATCTTAGTTTAAAACATTTATCCAGCCAGGTTATTCATGGTGTAATCTACCCTAGAAATTATGTGAAACGATGCTTAATAGCCTTAACATGCATCGATCACTAATATTATTGGATATATATATGTCGTGATCGGTATCTTCGATCAGACGTATATATCACTTGTCCAAAGGTACTGAAAGTTGGTAAACCACGCAAAAACTCAGTATCCGTACTGAGATCTGATAAAACTCCGGAAATAATTAGAGCGATCAGCACACTCAGATACTTCACTATTTATGGCTAAACCATGCACTGATATACACTAAATGTGAAGTAAATTCTTGGATTTTGAGAAAGATAAACATTTTCAGAACTTTGCATGGATGTAAAACGTGTT